GCCAACCTCAGCAGTTTAGTAAGACCCTAAGCAACTCAATGAGACTCTGTCACTAAATAAAATATTTTTCTTTTTTAAAGGGAGAGTGTGAGAGGGAGAAGAAGAAGAAGAAGAAGAGAGAGAGAGAGAGACAGAATTTTTTTAATATTTATTTTTTTTAGTTATTGGCGGACACAACATCTTTGTTTGTATGTGGTGCTGAGAATCGAACCTGGGCCATACGCATGCCAGGCGAGCGCGCTACCGCTTGAGCCACATCCCAGCCCTAAATAAAATATTTTTAAAAAAATGGCTGGAGATGTGGCTCAGTGGTTAAGTGCCTCTGGGTTTAATTCCTGGTAAAAAAAAAAAAAAAATAGCTGAAGCTGGGGGAATTGGCACATGTCTGTAATCCTAGCAACTATGGAGGCTGATGAAGGAGGATCACAAGTTTGAGGCCATCCTCAGCAATTTAGCAAGATCCTAAGAAAATTAATGAGACCATCTCAATATAAAAAATAAAAGGGGATCTGGACACAGCGGCCCAGGAGGCTGACACAGGAGAATCGTGAGTTCAAAGCCAGTCTCAGCAATGGCGAGGTGCTAACCAACTCAGTGAGACCCTGTCTCTAAATAAAATACAATATAGGGCTGGGGACATGGCTCAGTGGTCAAGTGCTTGGAGTTCAGTCCTTGACACTAAAAAAATATAATAATAAAAAATAAATAAAAAGGGTTGGGGTGTAGCTCAATGGTAGAGTACCTCTGGGTTCAATCCAGCACCAAAAACAAAACAAAACAAAACAAAACAAAACAAAAAACTTGCCCAAAGCATACATAATCCCATAGATCAATCTACTTATGAACAAAAAAGCAAAACTTTTTTTTTTTTTTTTTTGCAGAACCTGGGATAGAATACAGTGGTATTCTACCATTGAGCTACATCCTCAGTCTTTTTTGTTTTATTTTTGAGATAGGTTCTTACAGGGTTGCCAAGGTGGCTTCAAACTTGCAACCCTTGTCTTCTACCTCAGTCTCCTGAGAAGCTGGAATTGCAGGCACACACCACTGTGCCTGGCCATGCAGAACTATTTTAACTATATGTATAACATATTTGTAAACCGAATCTAGCAGGGTATTAAAAACAGATGACTGGGGCTGGGGATGTGGCTCAAGCGGTAGCGCGCTCGCCTGGCATGCCTGGGGCTCTGGGTTCGATCCTCAGCACCACATAAAATAAAAATAAAGATGTTGTGTCCACCGAAAAAAGGCTTTCTTTAAAAAAACAACAAACAAACAAAAAACCCCCAGATGACTAAAGAGGTTTTAGATCAGGACTGTTAAGACCTAAGTACATAAAGTATATGATAAAGTGGCATTTCATATGGATGGGGAAAGGATTGACTACTTCATAAGGACTGCTAAATTAGCTCACCACTGTAAAGAAAGAAAAAAACAATTCCTTCCTACCTTTTGCTGGAGGTCAAGGATGGGGATTGAACCTAAGGCCTTACTCATGGTGTAATCTATCTATCTATCTATATGATTTAACCCAGTGGTGCTTTACCACTGAACTACATACCTAGTACTTTTTGTTTTTTATTTTGAAACAGGGTCTAAGTTGTTAAGCCTGTCCTTGAATTTGTCATCCTTTTGCCTCAGCCCTCCTGAGTTACTGGGATTACAGGTGTGCAACACAATATTCAAATATTCACCTATTCCTTTTTTTTAAATTTTTTTATTTATTTTTTATTTTTTTTTAAAGAGAAAGTGAGAGAGGGGGACAGAGAGAGAGAGAGAGAGAGAGAGAGAATTTTAACATTTATTTATCTTTTCTTAGTTCTCGGCGGACACAACAGCTTTGTTGGTATGTGGTGCTGCTGAGGATCGAACCTGGGCCGCACGCATGCCAGGCGAGCGCGCTACCGCTTGAGCCACATCCCAGCCCCTCACCTATTCCTTTTTAAAAATCAAATTAAGGGGTTAGGGATGTGACGCAAGCAGTAGCGCGCACGCCTGGCATGCGTGCAGCCCGGATTCAATCCTCAGCACCACATACAAAACAAAGATGTTGTGTATGCCAATAACTAAAAAAAATAAATATTGAAAAATTCTCTCTCTCTCTCTCTCTCTCCCACTCTCTTTA